GCGTCTCTCAAGGATATCACAGTTCTCGTTTAAAAGCGATGAACACTCGTGGCATTTGTTTCACGTATCCGTTTGGGTTTCTCTCTCTCGTGCAAATAAAGTCTACCGAATACTTTTTTCCCCTTTTCGAAACTACTTCCCGAACTGCCGCAAATTGCGTTAAACTCCTACTCGCCCGCAGCCGCGCCGAAGATCTCTTCAGGAAGCCGAGGATAGCAAACATTACGCAAACAACGATATGTCCATGTAGTCATCGCACAGAAGACGCGTGTACGGATGATAGAAAGTTAAGTGTCCCGTGGGCATACAATTACAATAGCAGCGATACGCTCCTGTAATATCGGAGTAGTAGCGGATAAGTATCGTGAAGAGAAGCGAGGAAGAGATGGAGACGATCGTACACAATTATTACAATATATTATTGCTACTTATTTCATTCGAGAGCACACGTAAAAAAATCTAATCTCAAGAAGGGATTGCGCAAGGTGGTTAAGATGTGCGGGATCTTCAAATAAGATCGAACCCGACGACACGGGTCTCTTTCTTCGTTTTCCTCTTCTACGGGGTCAAGCATCTTCAAACGCTCGTCCATACGTGGTGTATAACGAGTACGCATCGCGGGAAAAAAGGGGAAAAAAATTTGCGCATCGCCATAGCACGTTTTACATGTCGAAACAAAAGCCTGGATAAAAATCGACGCGCGTGACTCGCCGTGAGTCCGCGAGGAGAGTTCTGACGAGAAGTCCTGCAGACCGAGCTTCTGACACTTGAAAGTTTCTCGCGAGCGAAGAAGTGGGAATCACCCTGGATCGCAGAAATGTTACCGCATCATTTCCCGAGGGACGAGGAGGAGGACAGCGGCCGGAGAAGGAATCAGTTCAGCAAGGACGAGCGGTTACATCTGCTGAATATAATGAGCCAGTACGCGCCGCTGCTGGACGACACGAGTGCGTCGGTGTTTGACCGTCGGGAGATCTGGCGCGCGATCGAGCGGGATTTTCATCTCGCGGGTTTCACCGGCAAGACCTCGGCGCAGCTGAAGAAGTACTGGCAGAACTACAAGTACCACGGCAGGAGAGCACAGACGGTAAATCTCGTCGGTGTGCGCTCGCGTGAAATTAGCGTCCGATCGGTGACCTGAAATTCGTCTTGCTAAATAAACGCTCGTCTTTTCCTCGGTCTCGTCTCGATTCGCCTTCGACTGTCTCTCTTTTCCTTTCTCTCTCCCGACTTTTCTATTTCTCATTCTCGCGCGAGTCTGGAAAAGTAGATGAAAGTATAAATATATATATATATGTATATACATATATAAACACGCGTGTAAGATAATAATGAGTTATGCACACACAATAGTTTGCGCGTTATCCCAAACGGTCCATTAGACGTTATGCAAGAACGTTATAACTCTCGTTCGACGATCGTTTTCGCTTCTTTTTGAGCTATATTCTTGCCGAATTTACGATTTGGCACGTTCGTGCGAAGATGCTTGAATATTTGCCAAAAGTTATTCAAAATCTCGTTTACATCATTTTCATCGTACCTTCGCGTGCTATTATCCCGCCGCAAATTTTTTTGTAAATTTATTCTCTCGTGTAAAATCGACTCCTGTCAAATTACTATACAGGGCGTGAGGAAACACTCGAACGCAACTTTAAAAGAAGCGATGGAGGAGTCGCTGTCGAATCCGGATGTCCCTGAAAATCGCGATAATCTTGAATCGACGAAGGTCATCAAGGGATCATTGGCCACTCCTTGCGTTTCTCTTCGTCTCGACGAAGAGTCGCCGCGGAACATCGTCGAGTCGGGATGTCGTCAGCGTCAAATATATGGGGATAATGGAACATTCTTACGGAAATTAAGTGCCACGACGATCCTCCCGACCGGTATGTTTCCAGCTTATCGCGTCTCTTTAAAGAAATGTCTCCGTTTTTTAAGTTCCCTGCGGCAGTTCATTCCAATCCGATCTTTTTACCGGTCATAATTACTCACTTTCGTAGAGTGGAACCGCCTAACGAGATGGTTATCGGAGAATGCAGTAAGCTGTAAAGTATAAAATTATACGCGATACTGAATTACAGCATGAAAAGTGAAATTTACTGCATCGTATACTTGAGCACCGAAAATATCTTTTTATTAATGATTAGCGTAAATCTTACATTGCACGATTTACGCGTAATATAAAAACGAACGGTTTTTATTTGTCGTATTTTTCGCTCCAATATCAACGTCGTCGTTTGGAGGATATTTCGAGAAATATATCTAACTCTCAATCTCTTAGCGTGTGTCGCGACGATAAGCTACTTCTATGAAAGTACTTGGCCATTTTTAAGACGCTTTAAGTTTTATTACCTTCCTTATCCTTATTACGGCTCGTCTCGCTTATCGTCGTCGCCGTCGTTGCTTTAAAGAATATTTCGTGCTTCTTTAAATCTGTCAAGTTTTCATGAATCGATAAGCTTCCTCTTTAGATTCGTTCGATCGTTACGAGACCGTGGTCTGCTTTTATCAAGACTCAATAATGCGCCCGAGTTTTTTATCCTTCTTATTATTCTACTCGTTTATCGTTGAGTGTAGCAAAGAATATCGTGACTTTCTTCGTGGACCTTTTAGACCTTCGGAAAGGCTATCAACCGCGTAAAAGGATCGTCTATAGTAGCTATTTTATGACGGTTATCCGATCGAATCGATATACTTTCTTCGATATTCATCATTCATGCGATTTATATTTTTTCTCACTCATTTATATAAAATTTAAGAATTATAGTCGTTCTGTCTATAAAACATAGATGGTTTTTTTTCACAAATTTTATAAAATATTAGAAAAGGGAGATTATACACTGAAAAGAAGTATATCGATTTTTCATAACGGATATTATAATGGCTTGTAATTTTTAGATTTAGATTCATTCGGAAAGAATCAATTTAGCTCGGAGATGTCGCAGAGAGAAAGATTTTCAAATAAGTTTTATGAAGACACAAGGCCATTGAATGTAATAGAGCAGCATAAGTCGGAAAAACCAATAGGTACCGATGTGATAGTCTCTAATACTAATTCCATGGACAATAGCGTAACTGTATCGGTGATTTGCTCCGATTTGCCCGAACGAACTCCCGAGTTTTTCAGCCAGAATCAGCAATCGAAAAGAAAACGCGAGGGAGACGTGCCTCTAGATAGATCCTCGTTTCAAAGCAGCGTTTCCATCGCCTCAGGTGATAGAATTTAATTTAATTTCTACAATTCTCGATTTTCTTTATCAATTGCCGTCAGTATCAGGTGCGTTAGTGTAATTTAATTAATGTAATAACGACCAATAATGATCTACCCTCCATTTCGTATTGTTACTTTTATTTCTTTTTTTATTTTTAATTTCGATCGTTAACAACAGATGCGATGCAATTAAATTCGATCAGGGATGGGAATATATTTTATCGAAAAAAAGATATCGATGTTTATTTCTTGCGCTTTCGTGCTTTAATAAATGCATTTTCATTTGATGCGTCAATAAAATGGCTCGCAAGAAAGTCGAAATTGCGGACAAATAGCCGGCATGTCGCAGCGACAAAAAATTTCATCTTTCTGTTCAACCATCAGCTGCATCGCCGGGCAAGAAACGCAAGAACGACGATCACTCCATTTTCCCGACGGTTGCAGTCGCGGCAAAAGGGCGTTGCTTCCTGCTGCAGCCCCGACAGTCTGATAATCACGACGGAGTAATTAATAAAAGAGAGAACGCGGTTGAAACGCGCCGGAAATTGGAGCCATCGAAGAAAGAATCCGCCGTTCTACCATCGAAATTCGCGTGGCGAAGCGAAATTTCATGCTCGGAGTCGAGCATTTCAGAGACGAGAGGTATTTCTGCGACTAGTCGGGAAGATTTCCCAACCGAAGATTTTTCCGCCTCTCATACCCGTGACATTCGGGATTCGACGTGCTGCAGAGGTAGATGCGAGGAATCGAGAATTCACGAGAACGCGACGTCGTTGCGGAATCAACGAAACGACTTGGACGGAGCGAGATCGCGTATTTCGAATGCGGGATTATGGGATCCGGATGCGGACAATCTGCTCGAATCGGAGCTGCGAGACGAGCTGGGTTACCGATTGATGCTGCATCGACTGGAAGTATGCGTCTCGCCGACTTTGTACAGCGAGATTCAGCGGCTATATAGGGGATGATTATATTTTGCAGACCGAGGAGAAGCGGCTAAAAGTGAAAATCGCTGAGATGGCTATTCAGGAGATTCGATTCAGAATACGAGCACTGAACGAGGACGTTCGCCGCGCGGATGAGCTGCACGAGTTGCATCTGGCACTTGCGACGGCTCAAGCGGTAAGCCGAGTCGAATCCGCGAACGCGATATTGCAAGAGCGCATTTGCCGGGTTACTGTCATCCTCAGTCAATGGCGGCATTATATTTTTTTTTCTTTTTTCGCTCGCGTTATCCCTCGATTTTATCCGATAATTCGATGTCTCGTTCAAGCGTAGCGTATATATTTCTGTACTGTACCTGTGTGAACATAAATAATTCCCGAGGAAAATATTTTTTACGGAAATATATTTCCGAGAGAAAGAGAGAGAGACCCGTAATTTATTTTATAATGCTGCATAAATATGACATCGACGTTGCGCGCGGAATGCATTTCGCAATCGTTTAAATGATGTTTAAAATTTGCTTCTGGCAGCCTTGCGCGAATGGAATTCTTTAAATTATCTTATGTACAGGAATATTCTCTTCAATTCTTTGGAGTTTTAAGTCTAAATACTTTTTGCATGCGCGCGTCTTAAAAGCTATTTATACAACATAAAAAATTATAAGTAAAGGAATATTTATGTAGATCTAAAAAGAGAGGTGTATATATATATATATATATATAAGAAGACTTTATTTTCTTACCGGCAGAATGGAGCTCGAGGACTGCATGTTTAAGAAGCCAAGTAACTTTACTGAAAGAGAAATGGGAAAGAAACAAGGTTTCGAAAGATACGAAAATACGTCTGGTGTGCTTGAAGTTATTTTTATTAATCACCATTATATCGGATGTCACGATGTCTCGTCATTTAGAAAAAACGCATGAGACCATACAAAATAACAATGCGCTTAGATTTTTGTGATAACCGAGCAACGTCTCGAGGTCGCGTTATTTGTTGCATTCGCTCTCTGCTTCTTTACTTCTCTTATTTGTTTTTTCTTCCTTTTTATCATATCGATTGCATAATCAGAGCAATTGCAACCATTTCTCACCATCGATTCAACAGATCATCGATTACGTACAACAAACTACGGAACAATAATTTTTATATCACGTAACAAGACGCTTTTTTCGTCCCATCTCTCAGCACCGTACTCTCCCCCATCGTTTCAACGTGCTTTTTCCATCCCTCGTTATCTTTCCGCCATCTCGCACCTTCTCCATTTCCCTCACGTACGTTAGTGTTTCTCTTCGTATTTAATGATTGTTAATAATTATCACAGAAAGTTCGTAAAACAATGATGTTGACGTTTATTAAGTGTCTCTGTTCGTGTTTCTCATGTGTGCCGAACGGATGCATGTTCGGGTATATGTGTGCGTATGTGTGGCCACATATATATATATATATATATATATATATATATATATATATATATATAATATGTGCACGTATGTGTGTCGTGTATTTATATTGGCGTGTCTCTCGTGTATATTATGTTTTTAGACGGAAAAGTTTCGCACGTTGCTGCAAATATAGTAACAGTAGTTAGCGTTAGAGTACATACTAGCGATAATAGTAGCGGTACAAGTAGCGATATAAGTACAACGGTACACATTAGAATAGCTTTTTCGTACTTCGCAGTGCTTAAGAATAATAATCTTACTGTAGTAGAATATATTTTAGACTCTTGATTTAACATTAGCATTGAAAAGTTCTCTTTTCGAGATCACGGTGCGTAAAACGAGTAAGAGAGAGAGAGAGAGAAAAAGAGAGAAAGAGAGAGAGAGAGAGAGAAGGTAGTTGTGGAGAGAAATGTCGGAAAAAATTTACGCGCTTATTCCAATATGTATCTCTGTTCAATTCCATTGCAATTCCTTTATCGCCTTCTAGATCGTTTATCCTCGGTAAGTGAGTATCAAAGAAAACATATAAATAATTTACAACATTGATTATCGTATTTACATTTTGCATTTTTACAATGGAATAGTGTATTTAACTCGGCCAATTAATTAAGAGTGAAACTTAAGTTACACAGAAAGAACTGCTACTTCTTTCATCTACGATTTCTCCCATCACTACATAATTTATATATTAAGGAGATTCGTGTGTGATTGTATAACACATTTTTATTTTTACAATTTTTAAATTGTTAATGTTAAATATTTTTTTAGCAATAAAGTATCGCAAAATTTAGTATTAAAATAAGTATTAAAATTATTCGAAATAGTTGAGAAAAAATGTTAATAATGATTTGCATATTAATGAAAGTTGAATATAAATTTAAATACCTATATAATCACTGTTAAAATAATTTATTACAACGAAAACATTGGCTCGGGAATGATCAAAGAATTCGTTAAATGAAAGAGGTAATAATAGTTCTGCAACATTTTACATAATCGTATAGGTGTTCTTTTTACATCAACCTTCTATAACTCACGGTAACTTCCTAAAGCTATTTTTACAACTATAGATATATTGTGATTCATATACTTCCGAGATATTCAACACTTCCCGGAGGAATAATATCGTTAGAGTAGTTCAATAACAATCGGAAAATGGGTTACAGAAGGTTAATCTTCACAAACGTGGCATGTAAAATTGCAACAACACAAAATCTGTTTCAATAACCACTAATAAAAATACCAAAGCAAATGAAGGCCGAAAATACATACATGGATCATAAGTCTTGGACATTCTTACATAGTGGAGTCTAACCGTTCTGCTTTGAATCGACCGAATCTAATCACCATAAATGTTCCATTTGTTTCCGGTATTGAAAGCACGGATCGTATTCCCGAGCGCGTGAGACTGCGATAAAAATTCCAAATCTCGGAGTTAGAGAGGCGCAATTCCGTGGACGGTAGTTCGCGCGAATATCGTACGACAGTTTTATTCTCGAAAACATCGTCTTTTTCATCGCTAGCGTGTCTCTCTGATCTCCGGTAAACGTCAAGACCTCCTGTCGCAAATTAAAGGCGAGAGCTGTGCTTGATTGCGATACAATTAGCCTTGGGAAAGTAATCTGCGAAGTGACCAATATCTTTTTATTATAATATGATGAAATTAAATATTTTACCGAAACGACGGCTTTTGAATTAATTGGCGTAACGCGCTTCAAGGATCCAGTCGATTACATTACGCGATAAACGGTTGCAAGCACGAATAAATGCGACGTTGAGATCTGTTTGCTAAATTAAATTTGCAATTGAGAACTCTTGTTTCACAGCCATTAGCACAATCGAAATGGAATCGAGTCGTTTTAGCGGTTAAAATTATGTAAATCGTAAAGAATAAGCTGTTTAAACGATGAAAACCAGATATATTCTATCGCGCGTTGGCTCTCGCTCAAATAAATATGCAAAACACGTTTAACGAATACAAATGGAATGATTATCTCGGGTTGATAGTTACATAATGACCCCCTGGAGTTTTATCGTGATATATTTTATTGTACTTTTCGCTCCAAGTTTTTTTTTCTTCCTCCATCGTCATCTTGATCGCGTGCGAGCCCGTTAATTGTCAATTATTAACGTTGACGTCTCGTGGGCGACCGCTTTGCGAAAAAGATGCGTCGAGATGAACGTAGTGAGATTGGAAAACATCGCCTGGAGCTGGCACGTATAGTGCTTTTTGCTTTTCTTTCCTTGCTCTCCATTCCCAGCCACTCTTCGTTGCGCTCGTTTACCCTCCTTTTTTTCTTCGTCCCTTCCCACTTCTTCTTTTCGCGAGCTACAAGAGACCCTTAGCTCGTACAAAGCAATGCTACAAGAATTTATTTAACACGAAAAGCATCTAGGAATTTCACTAAGCGAGAGTTAGCTCTTACACTTATGCGCTTCCCGTTGAAAATTGTAAAAATTGCTTAAAACGACTTTTTCTTTTTTTTTGTTTGTTTTACTTAATAATCTCTTATACGAAGAGATAAAAACTTAACTCGATACATACCGGCCGTTCGCGCGCGTTCTATACCCGTTCATATATATATCTCTCTCTGTTTATTCTGATCCGGGGTGGTAAGAGTCCATCAGCGGGGTTCAACTTTGCGCCAGAAAAGTAGAAAAACAGTTTCGGATCCGACGTTTAAAGGAAAATCAACCCTCGACCGCGCCGGAGCCGGCCGTGGATATTGCAAAAGCTAAAGCTTTGCTAAAGCTGATGGATTACTTCTTTTCTCATTAAAACGCTTCTAAAAATCTCTCTTCATTATGGCGCGCGGTTTACTTCTTTGCCGGTGCAATCTCCTCCCATCTGACCTGACACCCGCTTGAGATCGATGCACGAACTCGAAGATTCGCGATGGACCGCTGATCGAGATGAGCGACAACGGCTTCCCCCTTCCTGCTCGTCTTGCAACTTTTGACGCAATGATGCTGCGGATGCGCTGCGCCGAAGCAAAATCGGATACGCATGATAGAAAAATAAAACTTTCGATCGCTGCGACACCTTCGTAAAAATGAAGAACCGAGGAGGGAGGCTGAAGCGATCGCTGCGGGAGATCATTGTTGACTTTCTCCACCCCGGCTGTTTTTTTATATACGTCACCAAAGTGATTCGTCCCTTCGCATACCTTAATTCGCCGAACTCGACGCATGAGCTATATACGCGTCGCTCGTAACTTGGGTTGCACCAATAGTCTGATTGAATTAATCTGATAAGATCATTAATTTATCTCCGATTAGATTGTAGTATATTTATGCGAGTTCTTTGATAAATTTGGAGATTGGATTCGAATTAAAGTAAGTGAAATTAAAACTACAGCGAAATAAGTAGAGTGCGAAACGGGTAATGAAATATTGATCTTTCGATTGATTCTCAAGTGCAAAAGAAGGTAATTGTAATTTATATATCGAGTAAATCTTAATTAGACACGATCACATCGAGGTGTATACTTAGTGCCGAAATTTCCATATATTCTCCAAGTTTATCAGAGTATACGATCTTGAAACTTTGCTGGAAAATTTACAAGAAACCCTGCGCGCAGACAGAGAGGAAATGTTAAGTTTATGCTAACTGATGCTGGTGCAACCAGCACTTAACGCTCGACAGACGTTTAAAAACCGCCACTATCGATCTAACAGAGTGTTCCACGATTATTGCTAGAGTTCAAGTGATATCCAGAGTTGCGTTCGAAGCAGACTTTTAAACGCGGTTACATCCATTTCTTTCGGACAGGTCGGAACGAGCGAAACCGGCTATCAACGGCTATTTCGTCTTGGCAACTTGTCTCCCTCTCGTAGGAAAAAGAAAATCGCTTTTCTCATCGCGTCGAAAAGTTTCTCACTCCGACTTGTCAGAGACGGGACATGCTCGAGGCATGTTACGAAAAAAATGGCCCTTCGAGCCACGTCCACGATTCCGCGAGGCAAGCACGCACGTAAGTCATATAATCGCAGGAATATCGTAAAGTCCTATGAAGTAGAGTAGAGTGTCGTCAGCAAGAATGCAGCATCTTATGTAGTACGGTGATAGTAATGTGAAATCGAGCTTACCAGGCTTACTTTGAAGTATCTTAGAAGCATAAAAATAACGAGCTGACGATTCATCCAGAGAGTTTCCTCCTGTGCGAGTAACTTTCAAAATAAGAGACTGAAAATGCACAAGTAAGTCAAGCGACCGTGATAAAGATTGAATCCTCTAAATTGCAAGATATATTTCCTTACGTACTATTTCTTACGGCGCTCTTTTTACATACTGTAATGTTGATAACAATAGTAATATATTTATCGAAGAATATAAATCTACGTGTACGAACGATGAAAAATATACTTTTGAATAAATCATGTCTTGCTGCATAATCTGCTTCATTGCCGCTGATTTATATATTATTCTAGGATATTCTCATAAAAATATTCGCGATTGTTAGACTTATTTTCCTATGCAGGGATCGTCCATTTACATTAATGATATGCAACATTCGCGTAAATTTAACGCTTAAATCATGTTCGAGAACTGAAAAGGGTTCGATTTGAAAATAAAAAGAAAGTAGGAAAAAATATAAGAGAAGAGACTGCTTTTGACATAATTTTGATGCTATAACTACGTGACGCCTACCAGCGAAGCGCTGGAGAACGAGAAATAATGCGAAATTTTTCACATTTCTGATGACGGTTTCTCGAATAAATCTCCGGGACGTGGGTAAATTTGCTCGCCGGTGTAAAATACGCGTCATGAAATAGTCGTTATTTAGATTGAGGGGGTTGCTGTAAGCTCCGCTGAAGTCTGATGCGCGTGCACGACACGTGTTGATCTTCGCCAATATTTATATTCGTGTTAGGAGATTTCGCGCTCACCCTCTTTCTCTCGAGGCGAAACCGCGCGCGCGCGCCAACATCTCGGATAACGGCAGCTCGTTGATGTTTGTTTGTTGCTTAAGGGGGTGATTAAACGTCGGTCCGCGCGTGACAATTAAGGCGGTTCCGTGAGAGCTGCTTAAAGGTCCTTCCGGCAGCGTTTCGCTTTCTTGCGTGTCTCACCGAGTGGCGTTTTGCCAACATTTGCCCGATTTTTATGTCTCGTCAGCAGGCGAGACGGTTTGTTGCACGTACAACACTTTCCGCTTCTTCGCTCTGTCTCACTTCGAGATATATTTTTCTGGGCCGTTATTGCTTTTACAAACTATTCTCTCTCTGGATTGATAAATATTGGCTCTGCCGCGTTTTTCTTTTTCATTGCGCGTCGGTGAGAAATAACAGAGGACATATTCCCAATACGACTTGCTATCGTCGCGATACGTATAGACAGGTAAAGCCTCGGCTAGAACGTATAAATGCGAAAAATAAACGATAGATATCGAAGCGTTGAAATTGCGTAGCATTTCAATAACAATTTATTTGTTTACGCGGGATCAAGATATTGTGCGAGGAAAGCTCCCGACAACCCTCGGGCGTTTGCGCCGAATTCCTGGATGCGCGCGCGATCTGGAGCGGAACTCTGATCTCTGACATCGCTGGAAAGTTCGTAACATCGCGAAAAGTTAGCGCAGCAATTCTCTCAATTGAGCGAGTATCGAGATCGCGAGCTTTTGGAATAGCCTTTACCCTCGGTTCGATATTTCCCTTCGGATCGAGTATCACTTGATCTGTTCAGAGAGAGAGAGAGAGAGAGAGAAAGAGAGACTCTCCTTTCTCGAATTCTCTCCGCATCGATCCGAAGGAACGATTGAACTCGCGCGCGATTATCCTCGTTATTTCGTCCGTTTCGGAGAGTCTCTACTCGGATGATCGAACGGAAAGGAGAGCGACTTTGATTTTAAAATCCTCCTGTATACAAGAAAGTTCCGCGGCGACGATCTACTTACGTAAAATTTCGATCGACGCAAACATGACACATAAATCCTCGGACGCGAGTCTAACGTTCGGGAAAAATACTCTTTTAGTTACTATCACGTTCCAACAAGTCAACAAGTCGATGTTATTATACATGTTATTGATGATCCTGTCCACTTTCGTCGTCCCGTATATGTACTCGCTCGTCGTTATTGTAACGCAAACTAACAGAGGTGCTGTGAAAAAAAAATTTATTCGCGCGAGTAACTTCTTTGTTTAATAATACTTGAATTTCTTCACGTCCGATGATATAAGACATACGCGTCAAGGACCCTCGATTGCATATCCTGCAGAATATATAAATAAAAGGTCCCTCTCGAAGAAGCGATGCGTCATAATCCCTGACCCGCGAATTACGTAAGCGAATATCGCGGTTAATAGTTGCAATCGAAGTGCGAGTTCGCGCGCTTTCGGAAGCGAATCGCAGCTAATAATGTTATAATATCGTGTATCTCGAAAGATATTTGTCGATATTGTCTCGATATCGACAAATATCTTCGACGCTACTCGAGCTCCTCGGGGAGATGCTGGTGCGAGAAAAATAAGAAAAAAAAGAGGGGAAAAAATATAGTCGGGAAGTTTGCCAATATCGACCTACTCCGCGATGCCTGTCACGCAGAGAAAACGTCCGCGCCATTTCATCGAGGACATCACACGCGTGTCTCTCCGACGCTTGCGAGTGCCGTAAATATTTGGTGTAGCTAAATAATGGGATACGTCGATCTGTAACGGGTGATTGATATCTCATCGGCGCGGGATGTCGTCGCTGCAGAAACGCGCACATCGCATGTGTCTCCACTTCCGACAAATTTCGGATATATTGATCCTTTCGTCACGCCGAGCCCGCATGCCTTTTGATTAATTTCGACCTCGAAGGATTCGCTCCAAGGATTGACTCACCGTAAATGGTGGTTCGACAAGAGAGTTGTTAATATTTGCTCGTGAGTAGGTAGCTCGCTTGAGATGACCGCGATGCTAATTTGCGACGACCCCGGGGTATTGTTTGTTTTAAGGATCTTTTGAAATCACATAATGTATAAATGGGAGTAATAATACATCGTTAGAATTCTAAAAAGAAAAGGATGAAAGGTGTCGGCGCGGACATGAATTCTTAAACACCAACTGAAGTTACACGAACAAACACAATCGCCGAGGACGTAATGGCTTTTGAGTTTATCATGGGTGTAATTAATCGTTGCTCTTGGCTGCTGAGATATTACAGTATGCAAACATACATATATTCCAGAATTTCCTTCGCCACCATTGTTATCGCCGCGATTTTACTTGGTTGCTCGCGATTCGCTTAACCGCATTGTTGCTCGTTCTATATATTCTGCAGGCTATCGCTCGATAAAGAAACGAATAAAACAAGTAAGGGAAGGAGCAAAGCAAGCATGAAAAGAAAAATATGTTCGGTATACGGGGTGATGAAAAATGCTCGGAAGTTTTACGAATGGAAACGCGCGAGAAAATAAAGGAAGAATAAAGAATAGCTCAAATTTCAGGTAGTTGTAAATCTTGAGCAGCGGGAAAAATCTGCAACTAATAGTAGTACTCGGGGAAGCGAAATTAGCGGTGGAAATTAAGTCATCGAATATACATTTCGCAAATGAGTTTAGTCTCGCTCGTTCAGAGAGAGTTAAACATGCTTTGGCCGCCGTTCAAGTTTTATTCTGGAAATAGACTTATCCGCCAACACCGAAATTCTAACCACGTGAGAACTTAGGCGAGAACACAGAAAGGGGAGGAGAAGAGAGGGATAAAGGTGTCGGGGGATGGAATGACGTTAAGGCGCAAGCACGCGCGTCTTGAATTTATAGCGAGTCGACGCGACGCGATGGCAAGTTTCGCGCGGCTAAAAAATTAAGAAAAAATGAAGATGCACGAGAGATACACGAGATGCTCGTAATATCGAGCGTCGTCAATTTAGTACAGCATGACAAAAAAAATTAGAATGACATATCGTCGCGACACGCGGACGACAAAGACTGCAGAAATATGAGTATCTTGCACGTTTACGGTGCGACGAACATTCGTTCTGAAAAGTGTCGGATAAGTATAGAATTTCGATATATTCGCTTTTTCATTCTTCCGTCAGATGCGTACGAAACAAAACGAAATATAATATTTATCGCAGGCGAATCGTTTGTAATTTTCCGTACGAATTGATTACACGGATCTCGTTGCAGGTTTGCGTAGCTTTTTGCGCGTGAAAAATTGAGGGATAAAAGTGCCGCAATGAATGAAAAACGTAGCGAGCGTAATTTTTTAAAGCGACAAGATTCATGGAATTCCATTGCATTGTTCGCACATGGTTGATACGCGCATGCGAAATGAATAGCGGATTCTTAGGTCTTCTCTAAATCAAGCGGGATACACCAGTCGGAATTCTAAAGCGATGATTTATGTCGCAAATTTGCCGAATACATTTTGCAAACTTAATATTTGTCTCTTAGGGCAAATATCGTTTTATTATTTCAGTCGAGCTTATATATTTTTACGCGCCGCATCCGGTGCGTAAAATTTTTGTCGCCTTACAAATATATATGCAAATCCACGTTATTTGGAGTAATAACGTACGTTTCGTAACGCGCGCGAGTTGCATTTAAATCTCTAGAGATATTCCGGGCTTGTGAATTTTTGTTGCCGGTTATGCGGTTATTTTTCTCTGTCACAGACTCATTCCTCTGTAAGTTGACTCGTATCTTTTCTCGCTTTGCATTCATCCAGTCCGTAGAATTGCGGAACGTGCGACGATAGAAAAAGATAGAACCCTCGCTTTGAAAATTCAATGGTACTATGTGAATTTTAGCTTCTCAAAGGAGTTCTCTCTTTCTCTTTCCTCCTTTCGTTATTTCGTCTTTGCAAAAACTTTTTACTTGTTCCTTTTTTTTAAAACGCGTTAATTTTCCGCGGCAATAAGATTTTTTTGCAGGCGCACGCGTCGTAAAACTTACTTCAAATCTCGCCCATTAACATACGATTGTATATTCGTATACATTTTTTATCCGACAAAATGAGTGAATTTTTTACTTTTACACGGTTTTAATTACCGCGCCGCGTCTGAGATTTTTCGCGGACAGATTATGCCATTAAATAAGAACCGAAGCTTGAAACCGAAACTCCTCTGTGGTTTCCGAAAAAACGAATCCTGGTTTTTGCCCGCGGAAAGGTGCAGCTAGACGCATCGTCGTGCAGTTTTTGGCAGCAACGCGTTACATATTGCATGGCAGCAGCAGACCGAATGCTTATGCATTTTTCATAAGTCGTCGGCGATCCTCTCTCTCTCTCGGACCTCATTTAACTTGCCGTTATCTCTCTTACGCCACCGATCCCTCGTGTTTGCTTTCTCGCGAGATGTTTTTCCAGTTTCGTCGGAAACGACAATTCTTATCCGCCCTCGCGTGTAAACGTGGGTTTATTCTTTAAAAGGTCTGACCGAGGGGTCATGAACCGTGCAAGATTTATGACGGGCGCCACCCGGGTCTCCTTATTGTCGTGGAGAATCCCACCCTCGTCCCATATATATGTATAAGAAACGCCATATCGACACAGCTAACCGCTAAACTCGCCTCGCGCTTTTCTTGTCTTTTCTTCCATTCTCGCGCGATTATCTCCAACATTGTTCCTTTTTGTTCTTCTTTGCATGAGTTCGCCCGAGCACTCATTCGGCTATATCTCGCAGAATGTTATAACGGATCGATCCGAGAGACGTCTGGCGCGTCCGTCTTTCTCTCTTCTATCTACTTCCATACCTATCTACCTCACTCTCTTTAATCGTCCTTGGCGCTCTCGCTCTGTCGCGTTGGATTTTCCCCGCTCTTATCCGACGAACATCTGACGTTTCTCCTTAATATCGGAGAATAGCAGATCCGAAATTCCGATAAATCCGTGTACCAATAATGTCACGTCGCTCTATACTAACTAAATACAAGTCGTTATCGCTATTCGCTCCTCCCTATGTGTGCGTACGCGTATATGTGTCTCGCTTTATTGTCTCATCGGGATATCGAGTGCGATTATAGACAATCAATTGTGTCAGTCGAGTCGAATTTTCGACGTCAATTGTTCCCCATATCGGTTCCCTTAATCGCATTCGCGCAATGTTGAGATATCTGTCTCATAAGCTCGACCTTTCCCTTATTTAGCTTAATCACTCTCGACGTTCGCTTTATTTCAATCTGATATTTCTGTCCCTTCCGCCACTTTCCTATCTTTGACTTCATTTTCATATTTCATGAAAGTAAACGTCTTACATTATAACGATGATTAATCGATCGGTCGTTATGTGAAAAATATATAGATTATCGTTCTCTTTCAGTCTTGTTTCAGAGTCGTTTTTCATGTAATTCTAATCAGTTTATTCTAGGTAAAAGTGCCTGTTCCGACGCCCGGTACTCTCTTCTTTGATTTTTTTATCGATCGTAAGTTTTATTCTACTTGAGTCATCTTGAATAAAAATTAGATCGTTGAAATTCACAAGTGGAGGAATCAAGAGCCGTCGATGATTATAATTAAAGCACGTAGAATTTTGAAAGGTCTACGAGAAGTAGATGTAACTTTGCTCGTTAATACTCGACGGTCGATCGTTATTGCTATATTACTTGTGGTACTCATATTTAATAAATCTCATTTATTATTTTCATTAGTCTCGCTGCCTTTGTAATTCTATTTCTACACTTTCTAGCGAAATATCCCATTATTTCTGCGAGCGTATTTCGCGATACACATACAATATAATAATACAACTTCGCTCCTCGCGATCTTCAACACACCAGGATATATATCGTTCTTACCATACTTACTTTAATTATATTCGCTTTTCTTCGATTTCACATTCTATATAATCCGCCGAGGATTCTATTGATGATACGGCCGCGGTGCAAATGCAGGCAAATTGTACGGTCGCGTACGGTTTCCTCTCTCGTATAAGTGACGTAAAACACTCATTAATATCGGAAAGAGTAGATTGCCATTATCCATCTTCTTTCCTTCTTGCTTAGTCACCGTTCCCGTATCGCCGAATTTTTGCCACGCCGTCTAATGCCGGCGTTACGTAAGTCGCGCGAGTCGATGGCACATTCGCGGTTTGTTAAGAAATCACTTTTGCACGCGCAAATGGTGGCGACCGGGCATCAAATCGCTGCTGCAATTTTGTCGGTAGCACGCAACGCTCGTTAATACCCGACATCGTTTTTTGACATTTAAAAATGAGTAATCGACAGCATACTTTTGAAGCATCAATCTTATATAAAGTAATATATTACATAAATGTCTCCAAACGTAGTATATCGATATATTTCTACTTATCGATTGAATGTGTGAATTAAGATCGAATGACGAGAACATTTAATTGAATCGCGTTGCGCAAAAAAGAAAGGGAAAAAAGAATACAAAAGAAATAGAGACGGAGTGCACCCCTCTCTCGTTGTTATTGTGTGTGCTATTCATCGTCGTAAAAATTTGCACGTCTCCCGATTCTTTTGTCGGTATTGTTGAAATACGTACGTGCCTCATTGTGTGACTTTGAAATTTTTCTTCGTACTTGCTACGCAACGGCGCACAATGCGCGATCAGTTGTGTCTGCATTTGAATGCTTGCCCCTGCTGCAATTTCTACCCTTGCTACCCTTTCGTTTTTTTCCTTCTCTTTTTTTTGTACCTAATATAGAACCGCGCTGCAATAATCGAAAACGCCAGTGAGCTTCGTTGAAATTCGTCGCTCGTCGAGCGTCTTCTCTGAATTTTCTTCGTTATCTCATTACCGTGACATTACTTTGTAGGGAATAAGGAAAATGCAGAGGAAGAATAACGCGGGACAAAAGAAGCTGCTTTTGAGGCGAGAGAGCGTCCCGACGAGAAAATGCTCTCCCTCTCGTAATTTATATATATCTTCATCGTTCGTACTCTAACAATTTGTTCATATTGAAGTCCTGCACGTTCTCTAAGTAAGAATGTAATTTGTCACGTCCAGTCTCCTTGAAAGCTACGATTTACTTGAACGCTACACACCTATTTAGCATCGCGAGATTCTCGAAATCGGATCATTAATGAAAATGGAGGGATCGATTTTAACGAGGAACGAGAATCGATCTTCTCCGAGAGTGAGATAGTTTATAATTCTTTCCTTCGACACGAGAGAGATTTCTCCAAAAATATTCGCAAATCTCTACATCTCAGACGCTTTTCGCGCTTATTGCCTATATAATTTCTATTATTACGTGCATGCCAGACCGCGCGGATGTGGACTTGCCTTTCCTCAGGGTCATCGTTTCTCATCGGCCGATTATCGGGACGAGCGGCCAACTCGCGCCGATAATTACGCAAATGAGGACGGCGCGGAGACTTCCGATTTCGAAGGGTCGGGTGCCGTTTGTGATGGAAATCAGGGTTACTCGCCGCCCAGCGACAACGCCTGGACGATCCTGGGATCGGCCTTGCTACCCTCCCGGAACTCCTCGAGCGTGAGCTTGTCGTCGTGGTTCTTGTCCATCTGGTCGAAGATTTTGTCGACCCTTTTCTGCGGTGTGTTCTCGTCCTCGGCTTGCGGCTGCTGGCCCTGGAACATCCAACGTTATCCGCCCCTTGGAATTTCATTAATAGACGGGATTCAACGGGACTCCCAAATTACCGTGTTGTGTTATCCTTACTAAAGAGGGGGAGCGAAATGTGCTTCCTAAAGTGCTTCTTTATTACGGATTATGAATCTATAAATAATGCACATTTTTCAAATTGAAAAGAAGTTCGCGAGATTGTTTCGGAAAATTTATATTTGCAAATTCTCGTCGCTCGAAAAATGCGAAAATATGAATATGCATGGAATTTAATTCCTATCAACGTGAAATTTTATCGCCCTTGTGCAACGACTTCTGCGAGAGAGAGATAGTATTTTCACTATCCATTATTATTTTATTGGAGCGAATTTATTGCCGGGAGTGTTATGGCACATCGCGTGCGGGACATTGACTTTTAACGCATTCGCGTGCGATCTCGCGAGTTTTAATTGAAATCGGCCGATCCGCTAATTTCTGATAATACAATTTCCACTTTATCGGTTGCATTTAGCTTTCGCAAATCCCGTATTATGCGGCACGATCGGGTTTATTGTTTCAAAGTCGGATCATTAAAGTTTCCGTTCGTGCTCCTTTGTCGGCCGCGACCCGGGTGTTTATGGATTACCATGCGTGAACCTTCCTCCGGGTATATAATACACATAATAATGCGCGTCACACTGTACACTTGAAAATTAATATTAACGACACATCAAAGTGATTAATGGCGAATCGTTGTCGCGAGACGGACTTTACGCTCGAACAAATTTTGCATTCGAGTTGCGCGATATATTCCGTACAAAACAACATTCCGAAAGTGCATATTATATGCCTGGTATATATTATATTCCTTCCGGGAATTTCGTTCCACGGGAGTTTTTCATTAACGTCCCGGTGGAAGCATCGCGGAAACTTTGACCCCAAAAATACGCAATCACGGACTTGCGTGGGCCTCGTTAGTATCGGTGCTTTAATTAACGCAGGATATGGTATAATGCTTGTTTCCGGGAGAAACCGCACGTCCGCAACTATATTATTTTCTGCCTATTCAACGCGCGACATTGTCACCCGGTATGAAACAATTAAAGGGTTATTAATACGCAGACGTCAGCCCTACGAAAGATTATAGTGAGCGTTGCATAATAGAGGATCACATTGTGTAACTTCAAAGAAGCCGCGTACATCGTGCTTGTGTCACGAGCAGTAGTCGAGAGGGTGGGTGACGTTATAGTTTGTGTCGCTAACTCGCTTGCAGCGCGCTAGCTGCAAGCTGCACAAGAGGATTATAACTTCCGTTGGGTTACACGTATAACGCGCTCGTTGGGATAAAATATTGATTTGATATTGAGTACGCGAGTCATTACGATTGCATCACAGCCAGCAAGTGGTTAAGCAGACGCATAAGTCTTGCGTCACTGTAATCGATTTTATTTATAGCTGTCAAATTAACAAAACACGCAAATTGAATAGCAAAATAGAATAATAGATGTTACTTTAATAGGTATTATTATTCTAGAATAATTTGTGAAAATAATAATAGATCATCTCCGATCTCTATAGTACTAGATTTTTAATAGCGGCTTCCTCTTTAAGAATTCTCCGATTGTCTAGAAATAGGTCTATGTTATTTCGAGAAGATTGTAGAACGCGGATGGTTTGGAGAAATAACAAAATTGAGAAGCGAGCAGCGGAATGTGTTTCACGTCGAAGGTTTCCTCGCGGGCCAAATACGTTGAAAGGGATACACTTACCACCATCTGATATATTGCGTCGACTATATTGTACATCTCGTCCCTCGTGATGAAGCCGTCGTTGTCCACGTCGTACAATCGAAAGGCCCCTGAAAAGAGACGAGAAGAGGAAGAAAAAACGCAATCGACTTGTGCAACTGAATTCTTTGGCAAGTCCGAAAGCGCCCTTTGTCAGGAGAGGACAAACTCTCTGTTTAAACGTGCACTTTTCTTGCGAGCTTGCAAGTTTTCTCCGTGACACGGTATCTCGTTCGCGATCGTGATATAACCTATATAAGTATGTACACATGTATCGACGAAGCTATATACATCTCATTGTTCACTTTTGTTCAGATTGCGATCGTTCGTCGATAGCTATTATCTTGGAGAGGACAATCGAGAGAATCTCGTCGTTTATTGTCTCGCATTGCGGCGATCATCTTTCATATTCTCGTCTCAAATTTTATATGTAACAATTCTTTTCCACGGTATCTCATATCTTTTTATTCCTCCGCGAAACGAAATTTGCGGAAAATGTGAACATTAATTTATTATTTGATTAATAATTCAGAAATTAATTCTGTGATTTCTAATTTGATTTTATCAGAAAATATTTATCAAAAATTTTACCGAGGAGCTATTTTTGAGATCCACTTTTTAGTTACTAATTTCGGTTTAATTACGGAAAGCTAGGGGCGGCGAGGTTTTTTCTTTTTCTAGATAAAGTTGGATGACTTAAGTTTTCGACTCAACTATCTTGAATAAATCAAATAGGAAGATACATAGAGGGATCTCTCGGCGATTGCGCGTCATGTTTTCCAAGTAAATGGGCAAACAACTCGCGAGAGAATTCTCCCAAATTTGAGTGGACAAGTTTTTTCGAGAGGGATCAGGAACAAGGTACTCACAGTGAAGCTTTTCGTCCAGGTTGCCGCGTGACGTCACCGAGAGCGCTCTTATGAACTCCTCGAACTCTATCGTACCGTCCTGAAACAACAATCCGACATTTCCTTATTTTGTCTCGGGCGTCGCACGCGAGATACTTCCTCCTATCGATCGCGAACCATTCGAGAATCGTGAATTGCTTGGCGATTGCATTTTTCAAATTCGAATAGCTACCAGTTATAATTAAACTTCAGCAACTATCGGTCAATACACTGTGCAAATAGTTTCCTCTCTCTGGGATATCTTTACCTTTTCTCAGGATCTCGCAAGTCTTGTCAAAGAAATCCGTGGAAAGTTTCTATCTCAAGTATTGTCTAATTTTCATTATACTTTCAACATTTATAATAGAATTATTAATTAAGCATATTAACGCAAACAAACTATTTTGAAAAAGAAAGAGGAGATGTGTGACGATTTTTAATAGATATAGTCGATTTACGGAAAGAAATATGTTCGCTTAATTACTCGGAAAGCGAGCTAGCACTAATTAAACGCCGCGATTAATTCGTGCTCGATTAGATCGATGTTTGTCTCAGTTTTAGAATACGAATTTGTGTTATAGAGCGTACGATTTATTATGCAAATTAAGAATCTATTCTTATCTAATGTCAGACTAAATAAAGGCTGAGGGCAGTTAAACGCGGCAATAAAGACGTGAGGACAGCGATAACGACGGGAGAGAAAATTAATTTGAGCGAGATGTGTGTGGTCGAAAGCGCATCGCGTGATCACTCTTTGCACGCAATCACCGACATGACGAACGCAAATTTGAAAAGGGCTCGTAGAGAGCCGCGATGTGTACACACGTGACAAGAAACTCACAGCGTTCTCGTCGAAGACCCTGAAGACGAGGGAGGCGAACTTTGACGGGTCACCCTGCGGGAAGAACTGCTTGTAGATCTTTATGAACCCCTGAAATCACGCAAGTTTCGTGTATATATCTCGAGCTTTTTACCTTGCTATCGATTACCTCGGGTGGTTAACCCTTTCCTCCTCTATACTATTGCCACGTGAAATGTGTTTAATGTATATTCTTTATATATGGATTAATATACGTTCAACTATTTATATTAGTTTGAAAATCGTCATATATTAAACTTTGTGTTTAATTTTTTATTTTAAAAAACAATTTTGATAAATGAAAGAAGAGAAGGAGAAAGTTAATGTAATTAAACTATAAATATTTTAAGTATATATATATATACCTGTTCTGTCAGCAGTCCATCGGGGCAATCTTTCAGGAATCCTTTGTGCCTAAATAATGTAAAGTAATTTTAATATACATAATTATTTCTGAAGCAAAAATATATGTATAATATTTTCATAGAAAATATTGCGCATAAATAATTATGAAATAATTCTTCGAGAATTTTTTAAATGCTATTTGTTCTAATAATGTTTTACTTTAATTTGATATAGAATTAAATTAATAGCATTCTCTGTCGTAGATTATTTTCTTGCAGCTATCGCCGAAATCTTTAATCATCCTGTCCAAGTTTATACAAGTTTAGATAATGGCTTATTATCTTTTCTTAGAGTCAAACTTACCATTGACGAATCTCCTTTTCGGTGACTGTAACAAAAACAAGAAGGGGGATTTAGAGAGGTAATTAATTATTGGCCATACGACGTAAATAGCAAGATCGAGTTATTCCGCGCGTGAAAAGTGTTTGGTAAGAAAAAGCGGGACGGAAAGAGTCGCGGAGAAAGAAATTCGAAGGGTGAGGAAAGAAGAGAATTATTGTTCTCCGGTGCTCGCCAGGCTTGTATCAACTGCCGTGTGATTTATTACACGACGGATTTTCTCGGTAAATTCAGTACAGAGGCACGATGTCATTGAAAGACTCGATTGTCCCGTGAAAGCGATCAAATTTTTATACAGCGCCGGATGTGAATGTGGGTGGGTCCGTGGATCGTTTTTTGTTGTGCCACTTCAAGGACGAAGGGCCGAATGTTGCCGATGTTCCCTACTTTTACCTCGGACGTAGAATAAAAATGTATCGCGATCGTAGAAGTGACGGATTGAAAAAAAGGAATAAGATAGTCGCAATGCAGGACGATTCATTCGGTCGATTGAATTTATTTGAACGAGGGGAACGAATATCACCGCGAAAGACTATTGATAACGGCAATCCCAAGACGGATGTGGACTGCTGCTGGAATAACAAAACTTTTCCCCTCGAATCTTTGTATTTAAGCGAGCGGATTACTTGACATTCTTTACGGTGGCGATCGAAGAAAGGAAATCGGCAAAATAGGGAAGGAAGATTAGCTAGTAATGAATGGCACTTACGTATGTCGCGTCTTTCCGATTCGTTTCTTGAACTTCGTAAAGACTTCGTTTATATTTATCGAAGCGTTCGTTTTTCGATAAGAAATGCGGAAGATATTAGCACGGTTCATTGTGTTAAAGTATTGCACATGTGTCTAATCGAGTTTAATATATTTTTCAAACATACTTTTTCCAACGAATTTGTGCAAGGATATTTTTCGACAATATTTTATCTTGACGTTTCATTTTAATTGATGACCAGATAATACATATAGTTACTCTGCCAAGTACACTTGTCGTGAGGAGAGCGTTTTACTTCCTACGTCAGCTGAGCCGAATGTGTTATGACAGAATGAGATAAGGAGTAAGGGGCGAAGGACGAACATTTGGGGTCGATAGAACTACGAGAGAGCGTGAAGAGTTTTGTGGTTTATATGGTAATCTCGCGTCACCCCGAGTATACCATTAGCTTTTAGGAATAGTGCAGCATACAAACTTCTCTCGTATGAGAGAAGGTCTTCAACTGTTCCGGAAATTAGGTGGTCTATAATACATTGATCTAATTAGACGTTGTCATAGTATCAGAATAGTTTCTCTTTTGTTTACCGGATTATTTCTGCATTTTATTTATCCGTGTAAAAAAATAAAATTTTTTCTAAATTCAGGGAAATAAATCGCTGGCGATTATCGCGTGAATCTAACCGAATGCAAAAGCTCTCAAGCTTCGATCGTTATTCCCCAGGGTTGACGGGGCGGTCCGCGATGAACTGCTGAAATATTTCTATAACTATGCAAATAATATTCGCGCGGTAAGTATCGGCGAAACGATTCGGTCGTGTTCGTGACTTCTTCGCGGTTTCGCGACGCCGCAAGAAAAGCTCATTTAAAACTCGAATCACCATTGTAGTTCGTGCGGTACACGATATCCATGTAAATAGATTGATCTCGGCATATCGTCCTGTCCTCGACTTTTTACTATCGGGGCTCTTCCGATCGATCAGCTGTTAACTGTCAGTTTCGACGCGATATCTTCGTGAGAAGTATTGTACGTATCTCGTGGGATATTAATTTCGCGTTTAATCTCAAATATGATCTAGCACTTTGCCATTTCCGACATGAAACCTTCGTTAATCAAGAGAGTTTGGTTGGGGGCATGTATGAAGGCGTAGCAGCGAGTCACGCAACTCTCGAAAAACGCTTGACGTTTTAACATGAACGAGAATTCCTTCCGTTTTTCACGCGATTGACTCGTGACGGAGATTCGAAACGACGTAAAAGTCGTCGCTAATTTTCGCGTGATTCGTTTAATTAATTAATTATTCAGCGGCATAATGACATAGTCGTTTTGTCGACTGTTCATTTTCATGAATAATTTCGAAATGAAACAGATACATGTATATACATATGTGTATAATATTATCGTGTTGATCGAATGTAACATATGTATTGGTGCACATACATAATATCCGATAATTCACTCTATCTGCGCACGAGAAGTGAAGCGATTATTATCGATATTATATATTTTATTTATATGCGGAATATTAAATTATAATTAGTATTTTAAAATATAAAAATTAATATTAAATGTATCATGGAATTTATATTTTTATCTTTATTTCCGTATTTTATTCGAGCCTGCGATTCGAGTGTTTGCACATTCTCGATTCGAATTATGTATATTAAAAGCGAGTTTTCTTATCAATATATTCGAATTTTGTAATTGGTTTGAGGATCGAAAAATGTTTAATTGACCGTATAGTTGTTCGTTCACTCGATTTAGGGCTTATGCCGTATCTTTTTCTGCGTCAGCTATTTTCTCCCTTTTCCCATCCGTTTAAATCTCTCGATATCTTTTTAGTTGTAAACTTTTTCTCTGAATGGAAAAAAGCGCGCCTCTTTCAATGATAATTCAGTTTATCGTATTAATTCGTATAAATGCACTCGGAAGTGAGGATTAGCCGCGGCACTGAAACCACCGTGTGGTATTTATCGTTTAAATATGAAATTATTTTACTGTACGTAGTACTGATGCAGTATGCGTATTTAATCGCTGCAGTAGAATATTGGTAAAATCACTTGTAATGGAGAATGCAAATTTTAGGACATATTTTTACTGTATAAAAAGAGTCAACATATTGTATTTTTGAGTATGTATCTCGCATTGTATATATCGATGGTTGATGAATTGTATATTAAACAATTTAAAAGGGAGCTTCCGATGAAAATAAATATATATAATTTTAAATATGTATACGTATAATGCTTTGATAAAAAGAATTTAAAAAGTCATAAAAAATGACAGAATGAAAATAATTGATAGTAATGAATAAAAGAATTTATTGACGTTTGTTTTCATTTATATTTGAAGACAAAAGGAAATTGTTGTCGAAATGAATGACGAAAATGTTTGTCGAAAAATTAAGAATAAAATGTTTATATATATATAATTATTGACACTCACCTGAAATTCTTTCAAAACGTGTATTTAATTTTTATTCGTTTTATTCTATATTTATTTTTTTATCCTTACGATAAAACTACAAACAAAAGAACGAAAAGATAATAGAACATAGTTTAGCTTGCCAAGACCTTCAGTTAAAGATTGTTTATCTGGCAGACGTATTTGCGAAGTCGCGGGTAGTAGATCTCTGTCATGTTTTTATGTATCATTTAGTATCTTTCTTTATTCCTTCAGATTGCTCGAGCGTGGATTTTCTCTTTCCATTTGTCTCCATCCGTTAATAATTCTGGGAGCCACTTTTCTCGGGCATATTCTCCGTTATGGCGAGCACTAGTTTTTCTAATCTGTAAACTCAACGACGCTCATCAGAAGGATACGAAGGAACTCTGTCGACGACTGTCGCGTCAAAGAGGATACAGAATCTCAGAATTTCAACGATATTGCTGTCACCATCTCTGTCACCGTTCAAAGGTAATCTCAACTTATTTTCTAGAGTTTGCTTTAGATTGACGTTTTTGCCACCGTCGTCCGTTTCGTTCGCTTCGGCGATAAAGTCGAAAATGTCAAATCAATCGACATGTGCTTCGAACGATTTATTCTTTTGCCTTGCAAATCGCATCATTCCGTATTTCCGTGCATCATATATTTTCTACTTGTGATTCATTCGGAGAGATGTGCATACATACGATGCGATATCACAACCGCCGGATATCGGGGAAGTTCAGACGCAATGAATCTTTAGATGGGACATAAAACTAACGTATAAACGCATTATCTACATATAATATGTATATATATTTTTTCTCTATATGTATTTCTATATATATCTATTTATAGGTAGGTGTCTCTATATATTTTTTCTTTATTTCGTTTAATCTATAATATTTAATTATATATTATTTATAATTACGCGCGCGAAGCAAAGTTATTCTTTGATAATGAAATCTTAAAACTCTCAACGCACGCATAAATATTATTATTGCAATGCATATATAAAAATATATTAATTAATTATGTAATACATAAAAATTCAATATTTAATAAGAATCTTTAATAAAAAATGCGAACAAAACAATAGAATTTTCTGCAATAATCTTTCGATATAAACATCTATGCTTATTAGACTCGTACGCGTCTCCATGCAGAGTTACATATATTATTCTTTGATAATAAACTCTTAAAAATTGCAACGCATGCATAAAAATTATTACAATGCATGCATAAAAACATATTAATGAATTATATGAAATGTAAAACAAAATAGAATTTTCTACAATAATCTTTCAGTATAAACGATCGCGCTGCCATTAGACGCACGTCTCCATGCACCCATCGCGCTGACGTTTCGCGCGAGACTGATTCCCATCGACGTGACCGCAAAACTCTGCTTAACGATGCGGTGTCGCCATCTGACAGCGAAACCTAACTTCATAGCCAAGAGTGAACCGAGTCCGCCTGACTCAGGCCCAACATCTTTCTCTTTCTATCCTTTCCATTAGACGTGAGCATCCCACGTGTCCGCTACGCTGCACGTCGCACATAAGACTGACAATGAGACCGATCCCCACCGACCCCACCACCGATCGCAAGATTCTGCATGGTGTCGCCAACTGACGGCACAATCCAACTTTATAGCCAAGACTGAACGTCGGTGGCGATCGGTCTCGCGCGAAATGTGCAGTATAGTGGATGCGCGCGTCTAATGGAAGCGCAGATGTTGCTCGAAAGATTCTTGTAGACAATTCTATTTTCTTGTTTGCATTTAAAGACTAAAATATTGAATTTTTATGCATTGCACAATTAACATATTTTTATGCATGCATTGCAATTTTTAAAA